GTGCGCTCTAATCCAATATGACTGACGTCCTTATGAAAAGGGGGGAATTTGGACCCAGAAACATGCACACAGGGAGAACGCCAGGTGAAGGTGGAGGCAGAGATGGAGGGCTGCATCTGTAAGCCAAGGAAGGCCAAAGACAGGTAGCGAACTGCCAGGAGGAACCACCCTGGCAAGGCCTTGATCTCAGATTTCTAGCTTCCAGAACTGTGGGAAAATACACTTCTGTTGTTTAAGCCCCCCAGTTTGTGGTACAGCAGCCCTAGAAAATGAATACAGAGGGCAAGTTCCAATGCTTCTGTGTCAAGTGGAAACTCCTGGGAACAGGCAATTTCATTTGTTTTATTTACCAGCACGTAGATGGTGCCAAAGAAATCTATGTTCAATAAATGCCTTCTTCATAGTTGACAGCACAGGGCATACAGGACAGAGAAAGGTCCTCCAGTCATAGATGGCGCTCTCATCCATTACCATCCAGCTCAGCTGTGGTTGGGGAGGGAACACGCCTGCCAGACGTCTGCACAGCCCCCTCAGGCCCTGTGTGGGCAGGAGGGTCCGGTGGGTGGCCTCGTGGCCTTGGGGCTTTACTGAAGAGACCTTAGAAATCGTACTTGAACGCTTTCAGTTTTAAAACCCACAAGGCCCGTGGAGGCTATAAGTGACTTCCTGACCCATGCCTTTCCATGGCATGGCACAGCCACCCAGGTAAACCTCAAGCTCAGCTAAAACATACAGCAGCACGGACCCTTTCAATATGTCTTCCATGCTATTTTGCTTACCCCAAAGTTTCCTTCCTCCCTCCCTCCCTTCCTTCCCTTCCTCATCTGCGAAAGGGGGCTAATCATGATCCCTTCCTTCCTCCCTCCCTTCCCTCCTTCTTTTCTTTTCATTTCTTTTCTTTTTTCGTGCATAGCAGGGTCATAATGAGAAGGTACTTAGTGGCAGGGAGAGACTCTGAGTTCTGAAGAAAAGTGATAATTATGCCTGCGGCCAGTACAGTGGTTCTTGTTGCACATTTCCTAGCCTGATTTCTTCTGACTTCTTTGGACCTAGGCTAATTCCTCTGGGACAATGGCTTGGGGATGGGGGCAGAGATCTGCACAGCATAGCTGACTAGTCTAAGTATGACTGGAGACCTCTCCAGTGTATGAGTGTATGAGTGAGTGCATAGGAGTGTATCTGTATGAGAAAAAGTGGTGGGGTGGGGGGACGCCGACCTAGGAAGGCCCTTTCCCAGAGGGAGAAGAGGCGACTGCCCCGTGTTCTGTGACGTTAAGCGGCCTGCCCAGGCCTCTCTCCATCTTCATTTGCAGACCAGATCATAATGAGGACTAAAGTCACCCAGATGGGTCAGCAGAAGTCCACAGGGCCCAGCAGGGTTCAGCCTACAGGCCACACCCAGGCCTGTCTGGGAATGGGCCTCCCTGCCGGATTGCGTAGGGGCTGGGCGTGTCTCTCCCAGAGAGCCCTTTGTGCCCAGGAGAGGATTGGCCCTGGTTTGTTCTGGCCGACTGCCAGGCCCTGCCCCCCTGCAGCCACCCCGCCCCACCCCGGAGCTCCCCACCTTTCCTCTCCAGCTGGGCCTCCCTTCCTCCCACAGCGCAGCCACCACCTTACTGAGGGCAGAACACTCGGTAGGAGGCCTGGGCTTTGCCAGAAGCACGACCCTGGGAGCCCCTGGCTAGAGGCCAGGGTGACTCCAAGGACTGCTGCCCTCACGCTGGGGCGGCTGACAGAGCAGGGGCTGCCGACAGGCCCACCCTGGGGAGCCAGGGACAAGAAACAGCCAGCCGCTGGGGTGGAGGAGAAAGCCCGTTGGTCCTGCCTGGATAGGAGTGAGATACAGCATCATCTGGTTTGCTGCTGGGGAGACACCATCACTGCAGGTCCAGATTACAATGGCAACTGTTCATGTTCCTTTAAAAAATTAAATTAAAAAACCCCACAAGAAATCTCATGCTTGTCAGAGCCTTCCTCCCCCGCTGTCGGCTCCCATTATGAATCCATGGCATCTTCTGCGGGGAGTTAATTACATGTTGTGTGAAAGATACAGGGCTTCCTTTTACATTTTTTCTTCTCCTTGATGGGTCCTAACCCTTTCGGCCGCCTGCCTCTGCCTCTTCCGCGTGCTGCAGGAAAGCGGGGTGCGCAGGGAGGAGGAGCAGGCCTGCCCTCCGGCCCTGCCCCCCTCGGAGCCCGGCTCCCAGCTGCTGACCCCTCAGGGACAGCCCTACCCAGCCAGGTGCCCTGCTCCGCTGCCGGGAGATCCTGGGTGCTGGTGATCATGACCAAGCGCAGGTGGAAGGTGTTATTTCGGGGCCCGGCACTCGGCCCCTCCGCAGTCTATCTCCTTTTGCACCCCCCCCCAACAGGGGCGCCGAGTGGAGGGCAGCGTGAGGAGGGCATCCTGAAGCCATGTGAGTGAAGGCGCAGAAAGGGAACAGGATCCCTGCCAGGAGGTTTGATGTAGAGTTTTTCGCAGTTGCTGTTCTTGGTTCTTTTTTCTGATTGCTCCCAGCTGTAGGCAGATAGTTCATTCCTGAGATGGCTCACCTTTTCTCTTAAGAGGCGATGACCAACTCCGGAAGCAACAAGTGTGGACTAATACCTTGAATTATTGCCTCTTTGAGGTGTGGAATTTCACCTGATGAGAAGGCTAGTGGCTCAGCTGTGGGGCCCTCGCCAAGCATGCTACGACTCCCCTGGTCTTGACAAGTCACAGCACCGCAGGGTCGAAGGGCCCTCTTGGCCAACCCCTGCCCCAAGCCAAGACACACCTTAAAGTAGAGAACTTTCTACCATCCTCCAATACCGCTCCAGTAAACCAGCAATAAAGGAAGCCTCAAGGTTGTGAGTTAAAAGCAATCAGGCCTGTAATTACGATTCTCAACTAACTGCACACAGATTAACTGCTTTTTAATGGGGCAAACCTTTCATTGTGGGTTGCTGTCCTCCTGCACTACGCCCTTCCTAATTCCAAATTAGGGCAGAGTCTGGGAATGTTAATTCATTTTCATTATTAGCCTAGCATAATTTAAGAAACACAATCTGCTGCTACTGGATTCCAAAATAAAATAAAAATGTGAATTTTTCTATTCTTTTGAATATCGTGTTTTACAGCTTCTCGTCTTAGGGACAACCAAGAGTGGACTCTAAAAATAAATAAATAAATAAATAACTCCTCTGTTCATTTGCCTTGATTCTTCAAAGAGCAGTAGTCCGAGAGGGCATAACTGACTGGTGTGACAAACCACATTGGATTACTGATGAGTAGGATGTCCTCGGCCTCTAAGGCGGTGGTGGGGGGCGGGGGGGGTGGAATTCAGCTCAAATGTGCAGAGCCTGTGAGAATGCCAATTCCTGGGCCCTGCGCCCAGACATCCCGATTTAGTAGGTCTCGGTGGGGCCTAGAATTGTGCATTTATTTTTTTTAAGATTTATCTATTTATTTATTTATTTGACAGAGAGCGAGACGGCGAGAGTAGGAACACAAGCAGGGGGAGTGGGAGAGGGAGAAGCAGGCTTCCCACAGAGCAGGGAGCCCGATGCGGGGCTTGATCCCAGGACCCTGGGATCACCACCTGAGCCAAAGGCAGACGCTTAACGACTGAGCCACCCAGGCACCCCTAGAATTCTGCATTTTTAAATAAGCATCATGGGTGATTCTGATGCAAGTAGCCACCCAACTACATGCTGAAAAATTCCAGAGGGGTTATGGCTGTGGCTTATAAGCGTAGAAATCAGCCGGACACCCAGCAGCTGCTGCTCTTCTCCCAGCCAGAACTTTCCCGGAATGTATATTCCAGGAAACTATTTATATATCTATTTTTTAAATAACATGATTTTTTTCTCCTTGGTTATAAAGCTATTGCAGAGGGTCACCTGGGTGGCTCAGTCGGTTAAGCATCTGCGTTCAGCTCAGGTCATGATCTCAGGGTCCTGGGACCGAGCCCCACATCGGGCTCCCTGCTTGGCGGGAAGCCTGCTTCTCCCTCTGCCTCCTGCTTGGGCTCACTCTCTCTCTTTCTCTCTTAAATAAATAAATAAAATCTCAAATAAATAAATAAATAAATAAAGCTATTGCAGACAACTTATATAATGCCGTAATAAAACAATAACAGTCACTCGTAATCCCTCCGTAAGGGGTGGGACTATTAACATTATGTTGTGTTTTTCTTCTCTGTATAATTTTTATAAAGCTGACAACATATTGAATATATCATGTTATTTCACTTCCCCCATATTACTATTTCTTTTCTGAATAGATCATTTCTAAGGCTATATAATATCCCCCTCGTGTGGATGTGACTTATCTTCATAACCATCCCTAAGTGTTAGGTGTTGAAGTTGTTCCCGATAATTAAGTATTATAAACAATATTGAGTTGGCTATCTCTATGCATAAAGCTTTATCAACATTTTTGCTGACTTCAAAAGCTGGATTCCTAGAAGTGGACCACTGGATTAAAGGATATGAATGTTTTTAAGGCTTCTGATAAAGAGACTGCCGACTTGCTGTTCCAATTTGCCCCCTGGCCAGCGTAGAGTAGAATGCCCCTGGGTTGACCACCCCCTTGGCCTGTGCTGCACCCTGATTGCAAAGATATCACTCTTACCTTATGTTATGGGTTGAATTATTTTCCCTAAAAAGATACTGTGGAGTCCTAACCCCCCATACCTGTGACCTTATTTGGAAGCAGTCTTTGCAGGTGTAATCAAGTTAAGAGGAGGTAATTAGGGTGGGTCTTTGTCCAATATGATGGATGTCTTCATTAAGAGGAGAATGCCATGTGAAGACACAGACACACAGGGAGAACATCATGTGCTCACAGAGGCAGAGATTGGAATGACGCAGCTGCATGCCAAGGAATACCACCTGAAGCTAGGAAGCGACAAGGAAGGCTTCTACCCAGAGTCTCAGAGGGAGTATGACCCTGCTGACACCTTGATTTTGGATCTCTAGCCTCCAGAACTCTGAGCAAATAAATTTCTGTGGTGCTTGGTTATGCATTCCTAGGAAATGAATATATATATATTCCCTCGATTGGTGTCATCTGGGGCAGAAATGGCCGAGGTGCAAAGGACAGTTCTTGCTCCCTTTCTGAAAGGTGTCCAGTGCAGCCAGTTAATCTGTCCTTCCTGGGAGCATTTCCCACTTCTGTGCACAGGAACAATAGTCTAGGGCCCAGCATGGGACTCTGGGGCCCATCATCCATCAGAGGGTCTATTAGAGGGTCTGGTTTACCATTTTCCCTCAGTCACATCTCACATGGTAGAGGGGCACAGAAAACAAACTTCGCATTTTTCTTCAAACTCTTGGATTTGACTCAATAGAATAAGTATTTAATAGGCTCTTTCAACACCTCCTGGATTAAAACCTTGTTCAGCGGCTCAGACATGCCTAGTGTCTGGGCAAAGGTCATTTTTGTCACTGATAGGCCTCAGACTGGTTCATGATCAGGTTTCTCTCAGACCCTTAACCCATGATTGGTTGGTAGATTGTATTGCTATTACATTCTTTACCTCTCCTAGAAATGTTGGTCTTTTCTCCAGTGGATTCTGAAAAAGAGCTCATTTCTCTCTCAAGTTGACCTTCTTGACCCTGGACAGAACCTGGACCTAAAGAATCCCAAATGGAGAAAATTATACAGAGGAAGAAAATTATATCAGGAAGTTTTTACCTCTACAGTTAGAAAGTCTGAAACACTTGAAGCTACTCTTTCTTGAGTAGCCCTTACTGAGTGTCTCTTACTTCTTCTGGTCCTCACAAGGGCCCTAAGATGTGGATGGAATGATCTCTATTTTACAGGTAAGTAAAACCAAAGCTCAGGCAGATCAGCAGGTGGCCCAAGGTAGCAGAGCTCAGCCATGGCAGAGCCAGAGGCCAAGATTTTCTAACAGTGTCCTGGGCTCTCTGCTCTATTACGTGGCCAAGAATGGCTTAGAGGAGGTTCAATTCTCAGTGGAGTAATAAATGCTACCCCAGGATGCCAGATGTTTTGAGGAGTTATGCCAAACTTCTGGAGGCAGATATTCCAAATTTAGCTCAGTTTCATGCCAAATTTTCTGGCATCTGCAGTAATATAGAATTTTGTTACATGACCCCTGAAAATAGTCTAATCTCTGCTAATTCATCTCTTGATTTTATACCTCACTTTCAATGTATCTTTTCCCCAAAAGTTGCAAAAAAAAAAAAAAAAGTAAGCCCTCTAAATGCATATGAGGAATCTTACATTTAATGGTCTTTGAAAAAGTTTTGTGAAGAGACTTAACCCCTCAAGGGGGAAAAAAAAAAGCGTGAAGGGGGAAACAGCCCCTAATATTTTTTGTATGAATGTATTTACACATGACGTGTTAGCTTTAATGAAGTCCATCTGTATTCTTGAGTATGGATGTACACACAGTGGGCTAGCTTTAGTGAGTTGCACTTAAATTCCATTGACCCTCTGCCCTCGTTCCAATTGCTAAGGGAAGGAGCAAAGACTTCTGCTGAATGGCTGCTGGAATCAATGAGGATGATGAACCAGGGGCCCAGAGGCTGGGCTAAACCATCAAGCAAAGAGCAGGCTGGGTCAAAACCCAAGATGAGGCTCTCATGGAAGCAGACACAGCAAGAAGGAAGCCCAGTTAGACACAAAGGAAGCCTATGAGGCCAAGCATTGGGCAGAGGAAGGCAAAGTTGACAGCTAATTCATTTCCTCAGGAGTTCCATCAAGGGGGAGCAGTAAAGATGAAACTCTGGGCCTCCCAGTGGGCCTCTGTCTGGGTGGAGCGGGGAGTTGAATTCAGCAAAACCTCTGAGGCCAAACAAAGCAAAGTAAGAGTTACCTGGATGCATGAGCCCAGGTGCACTCAGACCATGGATGGGGCAGGAGAAAGGAGCTTCCCAGAGAAGATGGCAACTGAACTGGGCCCAAACCAGAACCATGAGAAATCAGAATGTGAAATGCTGGAGGAGGTAACCCCTACCAAGGGAGTTCTCAGCCTGGGGAAAAAAAAAAAAATGTGGAAGTTGGGTGTGGCAGCGTTTGTGGCTTAAATATCCGGTCACCGCCCCCCTCCTGCACCTGGCCTTAGCTCCCAAGATAATCTCCACTGGTCCAGCCCACCAGCTTCCCCAAGGGGCAACCACACAGGGCCCAGGCCCTTCCACCACTAACACTTTCCATACCAATCCCTGGCCACTATTTCTGCCCTCTGATGTCACAGGCCTCGGCATCTTGACCCATCTCAGCACATTACACCCCTTGATTTCCCCAGAGCTGTCATTTTTAACTCTTTTCTGCAGAGGCCTGTAGCACAGAGCTTTCCCAGAAGTCTGGTTCAGTGCTATTTTGAGTTGGACTGGATTGGCAGAAATGAGCCGCCCACCCGCACACTTGGGGAAAAGGCTGCCCAAGGAGAAGGGGGCCCAGAGCTCCTGCTCTATGTGAGTTGGAACGAGGGTCATATGGGGCAAGAAGCAGCTCCCAGGGTCCCTGTCGAGGCTGTGCTGACAAACAGCTCTGGACAGATCCGAGCGGGTTTTGTTCACCCAGCTGTTGTGCTACTTCTGCCTGCAAGATGAGACACGGACACCCCCCCTCCCCGGGTTGGCATCACTTGTTGAGCTGTGGCTTTGGAAAGAACAGCGAGTTAAATCCCGGAAAGAGCCCGAGAATGAAATCCAGCTGGAGGCCCACCAAGGACAGTTGTGTCTTGCTCATCCTGGCAGCCACAGCCCCCCTCCGGCACCTGGCCTTAGCTCCCAGAATAACTCCGGCTGATGCTGCCCACCAGCTTCCTGGAAGGACCACCACACAGGTCCCAGGATGGTGGGGTGAGGTGGGATGGAGAGGGAGTGGAAGAAACCCAAGCGCCTGTGGAGCTCGGCTGCCTTTCTGTCCTCCTGGCTCCTCTGTCTTCCTTCCTGTCCGCCAGGGGCGGGGGAAACCTATCCCGGTTAAAGCAGCTTCTGGGTGCCTTTTAAAGGGTGCTTTTGCCCTCCTTGAGCATCCTAGAACCACAGGATGCAGCCTCTCAAAGTGTTCCTGAACACGGCCTCAGTGGAGGACCATAGTGCCCTGAGCCCCTCCAGCCTTGTTACCCAGAGGAAGAAGCCCAGACTCCTTCACCACGTCTCATTACTGCCTGCAAGTAGCCCATCTTCTGTCTTCAAGAGGCTTCGGCCTAAATTCTCAGGCAGTAAGAAACTCACCTGCGCAAGGAGTCCAGTGCTGTTCTTCACATGTTCTTAAAATTCTTTCCTCTTTTTATATACCTTCCTTCCATCTTCCTACCACCACCCTCTTCACTAAACCGCCACCCACCCTCTATTTACTGAGGTTCTGGAAACCCTGGGACATGCATCCTCTTTGAAGGCTGTGAGGTGGGGGGGAGTCTCCAGCCTCCACCCCATCCCACCAGGGTCAGGGGAGGAAGTTAGGTTAGGCCGGTACATTTCTTCCTGCTCGGCCAGAGATGCTCCCATCGAAGGGAACTGGACCTCCTACTCCAGACACCCTTGTTCCCTGGTGCCCCGGGGCCGAGGGTGTTCACCCGGGGTTCTCTTCCTCCCCCGGGAAGTTGGCCTGCAGCCTTTCTCAGCAAGCCCCCCCACTTCCCCGAGCCACTCCGGGGCGGGGCCAGCCACCCACCCAGCGCCGGCTTCAGCACGTGGCTCTGGGCGGCAGGTCTCCTCCCCGCCGCGGCAGCACCGCAGGGTGGTTTTCACCCTCTTTCGCCCCTACCCCCCGTGACTTCTTGTAAAAAGCTTCGCCCGTCCCCACCCACCTCCGCCCTCCCGCGGCTGCCAGACCGGGGCCGGCCCCCCTCCGCCTCCCCCCGGAGGCAGCGCTTTCTCCTCCCCTGGCAGCGGGCTCCGCTTCGGAAACTGTTGACTCAGAGGGTGGCCGGGCGGCCAGCGTCTGATGTCAGCTTGGAGCGGGGCCAAGGGGAGAGGGGGCGGGAGCGCTGGGGGAAGGGAGGCGCGGG